ATATATATATATATATATATATATAAACTTAGTGACTGAATTTTAGGGTGACTGAATTCTCCGTTGCATGAGAGGAATAAGAGCCAGACGCAAGACTCGGTTATAGGGACGGAAAAATTCCTGTGAGACGTTTCTACAATTTAGTCGCTCGCTTCCAGTTATCTCAACGGAGTTTTCAGGTAACCGAATGTTTAGACGAACATTTTCGGTCGCCGTAACAGAGATATCATTCACCGAATTTTCGTTTGGTTTCCTATTCAGTTACACGAATTGGTATTTTTTTTCGTGTAGGATTCGACTGCTCGAAATCCTAGCTTACTCGACCTGCAAGTTTTAGATACACGATCTGTTCTATCTTCTTCTAGATAAAATAATTCTAAAGCAGTATATTTGATTAGTTCTTTAACTTAAGATTACGTTTTACGTTTACGCTTACGGCCATTTGTGCGAAAGCCCTAAGTGACGTTAAGTTTCGACTTCTGATTATTACTATATCGAGCTATGGACATGTTAAAAGTTGCATGTATAAGTAATAATATAGTTGTAGTTTAATACGCGCGTTTTATCTCAAAATTTATTAACTACAGATACTTAGCTATATTTTTATAGCAATTTTCGTTATGAAAGTAGTACAACACCTTCGTTACGAGAGTACTGCTTCTGTGCTGTATATAATTACACAAAAATTGCAAAATTTTTCTTTGCCGTCATAAAATTTGGTTACTTTATATTATGCGACAAAACATTTTCAAGTAAACTTGCATAATATTTTTAAGTAAATATATAGTAATTTCGCTTATAATTTCCATACAGACCAAGATTATAAGATTTCATTATAATTTTTACTACAATATTGCTCGCGTGTACAAAAAAAGAGACGTATGTCAATGTGCGGCTATCAAAAATATTTTCATCTTACACGAGTAACGTTGTTATACGGTAATCCAATTATAACTGAACCATGAGCAGAAAAAAAAAGTGTCGCGATCGAATTGCATTTGCTGAGCAATGACAATATAACGAACTTAGCGACCACTCCCGGGTTAATCTAATGACATTCCAGCGAAGTGAATGTTTGTTCGTGCTTTAGATATACGATAACGAAGGAATGAGTCATTGAATGTGGCACGTTTGGATTCGTCACGCGACGTCTTAAATTTATTTTCATCGCCGTCCTTCATGACGTTCATATGGAGCTATTTTCCAAGCATCCTTTAAGAAGCTTCTTCTCCGAACGATCGGATTAGGAGGGAGAGCGACCGTTTGTGTGTGTATCTATGCGCTCGCACGCTTGATCTCCACCAAAAATCCGAGCTCCTTCGTGTCACGCTATACCGAACGCACCGTCGCTACAATGTCTTCGAAGCGGCCGTTTCCGGTTCAACGGTCTCACACAGAGACCTTACTGTGTGCTCGAACCGGTCCGGACTACGAGGGAAAACGTGAGAGAGTGGTCCTTCTTTTTTGTTACGAGCGGTCGGGGTTCGTTCGCGCAACCGAGCGCTATGAGATCGGGACGAAACTGACCTCGCTCAGACTCGGGGAGAATAAGATTGGTCGGGCAATCGATCATGTGTTTCCTCGAGATACAACCTTTCCCGACAACAGTTTGATCGCTTTTCTACCTGTGCCTCCTAGAGTCACGAGCGTGATTTTGTGTGAGGTTTTTTTACATACACAAAATTCCAGTGCCCGGACACGTACCTAATTCTAGACATTCTTATCGTTTTAGTCTTTAATTACGAATATATTTAAACTTTTAACATAAAATATATGCATATATACAGGATGTCCCAGATCACCTTCACAATCTCTTGTGAGGACGTAGAGCGGATTGAGATGAATACAAAAGTCCAATACCATTTTGCGATATACGCAATAAAAATCTCAAAATATTAATTAAAAAAGATTGGTGAATGATCACGCGCGATATGGTAGATGAGCTACAGTGGCGCCGTTTGTCGTTGTATATTTACACATTAGGTCAAACTGAACAAAAAAGTCCTCTACTATTTTGCAAATGATCACATAGATTTTCAGATATTAATTAAAGAAAATTTATGCATTATGGTACACAATCTTGTACAATTTTCTTTGATTAATATCTGAAAATCTATGTTGTCATTTACAAAATGGTACAGGACTTTTTTGTTCAGTTTGACTTAATGTACAAGTATACAACGGCAGACGGCACTATTGCAGTTCATATCGTGCATGTTCATTCACCAATTTTTAAAATTAATATCTTGACTATTATTGCGAATATCGCAAAATGGCATAAGACTTTTGTGTTCATCTCAATCCGCTCTATGTTCTTACGAGAGATTGTGAAGGTGATCTGGGATCACCCTGTATATATATGTACATATATACAGGGTGATCCAAGGTAGCCGGAGGAGCCGTACGTATTCCTCATGAAAAAGTGAATCGAAAATGTTAATAGCAAAACGTTGTGATATTAACAGTTTTTAAATGGTGAGCCTTTGAAACTGTCCAATCACGGGGCGTAAAGTTTGCGCCGTCAAGTATGGCGTTTGGCGGTCGGCCGTTTGGTTGTATCATACTTGACGGCGCGAACTTCATGCCCCGTAATTGGACAGTTTCAAAGGCTCACCATTTAAAAACTGTTAACATCACAACGTTTTGCTATTGACATTTTCGATTCACTTTTTCATGAGGAATACGTACGTGCCGGCTCCTCCGGCTACCCTGGATCACCCTGTATATATATATGTGTGTGTGTGTGTGTGTGTGTGTGTGTTAAATATATACATATATTCTCTCTCTCTCTCTCTCTCTCTCTATATATATATATATATATATATATATATATATATATAGAGTATATGTATATGTATATATACACATATATACATATATACATATATTCTGTCAGAAGTTTAAATATTCATATTTAAAGATCAAAATAATAAGAATATTCAGGATTAGATAAATGTCTGTGAGTTGATAGTTTCATGTTACAGGACAATACGTTTGACAATACGTTTGATAACAACACGATCGTATTGCCGGTCGTGCGTGTTTATATATGACGTGGCTCCGCGATAACAATGTCCGACTCATCAAAAATATTTGCTGTGTGCATGCGAAACGAGAGGCAAATTAAAGTTGGAGGAAGTCTCGTCGACGTCATATCGAAGAAATAACGTTCACCACTCATGAACCGCGACACAGTTTGCAGCGCATTTTTCTACGCGCGTATGGTTAGTGTACCTGTAATATTAGTTGTGTACTATCACGTCCACACAGGAGCTGGATTGTAATGGACGCGCGTAATGCGAAACTGCCGCGAAAAGTAATAACAGCCGTGAAGCGAGATGATCA